GGCATCTATGCCACTGGTCGAATCTTGTCTGCTCCCTGAGACTTCTCATTACTACGTTCATTGGAAAACGCTAAACACGTAAGGGGAATGAGATGGGGTGATCGGGTTTGATTCGATTAAGGGAAATACAAGTGCAATTCTCGGAATCAAGAGCGCTTAACTTGCAGCAAGACACCCTCTTGGGAGGCTTAGATGACGGAAATATTCACAACAGTGCATTGACATGTTAACATTTCATCAGTTTGGACTTAGCTATTTCCAGACACAACCTTTAACTTCAAACGCTATTAAAACGTGTCTTCACTAACGTAACCTCCAGCTGAGAAAAAATTTCGTACACATTTGTCATTGTCTAGGCAAGGCTAATCACCAAATAGAGGAGAAAGTGTATATTTCTATGGGAATTACAATCGTGAGAGATAGAGAACGAGTGCCCATCTAGCATATAAACTTTCATACCAGACCGTAAGTTCTCTGCCAGTGAATAAGTGATGTCATTTGTCGTGACTGGCAAGCAATTGATAATGTATTTACTTTGTGAAAGTGACATTTACATGTCTGCTCGAGCACGGTGAGTCTCGCCGCCCGCCCCAAGAATCTCAGTAGTTTTAACGAGACACTTTGTTAAAGTTACAGCACTATTTTCACTGCCTGTTCTTACATCTCTGTTCATGAACGCGTTCAGTGGGATTTTTTCCTTGCTTCTCTTAAATAGGATCGATGAAGATAAAGGTTGTAAGGCTGGAATACGCACAGTCTTTGTCCTGGTTGTTCAAGAGTCTTTAAGCTTCCAACTTGCGTCTTAAGTGGCCACAAGACACACACACACACACACACACACACACACACACACACACACACACACACACACACACACACACACACACACACACACACACACACACGATACTCCATGATACTCCATTGTTGTGCCGCTGACACTACTGCTCCAATTCAACAAGAGCCATGACTTTTCCTACTACCATCACCAACTATCGTTGCCATTACTAAAAATGCTACTTCAGCTACCGTACCCACCACCTCCATTACTATCACCACTAGCTCTAACTTTCCTTCAATCTGTTCCAACCCAATCATTCTCCCTCTCTTCCCTGTTTGTTAATATAATATATATATATATATATATATATATATATATATATATAAATATATATATATATATATATATATATATATATATATATAAATATATATATATATATATATGCAAACCAAGATATGTGATCATATCCTAATAAATTCTAATTTCTGTGTATTACTGATGCTCCTCGCAGATCTAGAGAGTGTACAGAGATCCTTTACTGCACGTATAAGTTCTGTCAAGCACCTTAACTACTGGGAACGCTTGGAAGCACTTGACTTGTACTCGTTGGAACGCAGGAGGGAGAGATATATCATATTCTACACTTGGAAAATCTTGGAAGGAATGGTCCCAAATCTGCACACAATCACTCCCTACGAAAGTAAAAGACTGGGCAGGCGATGCAAAATGCCGCCAATAAAAAGTAGGGGCGCCATTGGTACACTAAGAGAAAACACCATAAGTGTCCGGGGCCCAAAACTGTTCAACAGCTTCCCATCAAGCTGCCTTCAAGAGAGAGCTGGACAGATACCTAAAGTCAGTGCCGGATCAGCCGGGCTGTGGCTCGTACGTCGGACTGCGTGCGGCCAGCAGTAACAGCCTAGTTGATCAGGCCCTGATCCATCGGGAGGCCTGGTCATGGACCGGACCGCGGGGGCGTTGATCCCCGGAATAACCTCCAGGTAACCTCCAGGTAACCTCCTGAGAGATGTTCTTTCCTACGTAATAGTGACTCCAGCCCTGATGGAAGCAAACTCGTATAACTCTTGGCCTGTAATTACTGCACACAGAAATTTTCGCCAATATCCTTATCGCCCTACTGAAGTCTCTCAACTCAGGCTGACAGATTTTTTTTCCATAATGTAACTACCTAACTACCATATAGAAGTTTGTTTCTAGAATTTAACTGTCGTATAACTGGTAATTATAGAACATGTCGGCCGCACACTGTGGCTGACCCAATATCATTCGATACATCAGTCAACCACTCTGTACTGACTGCTATCCGTCTCTCATCAATCCTTCTAACCGTCGTACTGCCCACTCCCCTCGTTTTACCCTCTCCCCTCATCTATTTCTCCCCCACCCCAAATCCTTACTACCTATCCCCCCACACGCAACCCTTGCCACCCCTCCTCTCTCCTTCCCCCAAAAATAGGGGAAGGGAAGGAGGGGGTAACACCAGTTCCTTGAATCACGAGCCCTTCACCATCAAACCCTCCCCTCCACATGAAGTGAAAAGGTGATCTAATATATGGATTCCTTTCCGATATTTACGCAGCCTAAAATATTTTTTTTCGTTTTTTCTTTTCTTTAGGCTTGAGCTGTCCCAATGGTTATCTGTAGCAATTTTTTTCAATTGGCACTGATGAATTTTTAATGTTTTAAAATTATATATTCATTAATCTCTTGCAATATTATTCATCTGATAAACAAGAATATACTGACTTCATTGGACCGTTGAAAAGCAATAATAATAATGATGATATTATTATTATTAATACGAATTATAATGCAAAAGAGAGACGATGAAAGCGATAATGAAGAAACACGACAAAGAATCAGAGCAGAAATAAATATTAAGAGTTACAAGTAACAACAACTGAGGTGGAGCTTAATGAATAGACGACTCTCTTTTTTCCTTTCTTTCATTTTATTTAATAGTGGTGATTGAGGCAAATTTTATTACATTTGCAGAGTACATCAAGCTGAATTACAGTAATAAAGAGTGAAGTATTTGCCACTTTTTTATGTGTATGTTTGCTTACCTCCTTTAATTTTCTTGCGTTCTCTTTCAGTGTCTCAGTGTCGACCTATTTATTGGTGCCGCTGTGTCTCTCTTTCTCTCCTTTGTGTATCACTGCTAGAATATACCGAGAACTATGTTATGGTGACGTTATGCGGGTGCTTGAGGAGTCGTTTCGCTCACCAGAGTTATCTAATCAGTCAAGTTCGTGGTGGGCGAAACGTTTTGGTAAAAATGACACGTAATGAATATTGTATCTTGTTAACACGTAGTAATGATATTGCAAGGAACGATGTCGCAGTTAAGTGACACGTTACTTACACATGTGTCCTCTTACCTATGTGTCTCCGCTTGATTGCTTTTGCATTCTCTCTCTCCCCCCCCTCCCTTTGTACAACGGTATTTTACCGAATTAGGTTAAGAGTTTCTACCTTTTAATTCTCTCTCTCTCTCTCTCTCTCTCTCTCTCTCTCTCTCTCTCTCTCTCTCTCTCTCTCTCTCTCTCTCTCTCTCTCTCTCTCACACCTTCCTAATCTCCCCACCGTTCATGAATACTTCATAGACAGCTCGAAGGGGTAATACAAAATCCTCGTTTCATATTTATAGTAAAAATTATATGTTTATCCTAGGCTTGCAGTGTCTGGTATTGATCTTATGCTGGAGTTTATCAACCTTCTTGTCTTTAGCGTAATTAAATCCTTGGATAATAGTCCTCTTAAATCACAATCTCTAGTTAAGTACGGTGATTGCTAGTGATTAGGTCAGTCATCAATCATTGAGCCTCATTACAAAGCTGGTTCTAATCAATGGCTTAGTACAGAAGATATTAAGAAATGATGGTTATGGCTCATTATGGAAGGACAAAGAGGGAGAGAAGTGTGTTGTGTGTGTGTGTGTGTGTGTGTGTGTGTGTGTGTGTGTGTGTGTGTGTGTGTGTGGTGTGTTGTGTTATTTATGTGTGTTTTGTGTGGAGTGTGTGTGTGTGTGTGTTCGTGTGACATGTGTTCTTGCGTGTGCACGCGTATGTCTGTGTGTTTCATTATGTGTATTTAGTGTGTTCACACACGCGGGCGTCTTTTGAATGTACTCACCGACTTGGTAATCTAGTCGATGAGTACTCAACATATGCCCTCGCACGGGCACGCACACACATACGCGCTGCGCACACACACACACACACACACACACACACACACACACACACACACACACACACACACACACACACACACACACACACACACACACACACACAGGAAGCAGAGAGAGGGGACCTAGTAGCGATCAGTGAAGAGGCGGGGCCAGGAGCTGAGTCTTGACCCCTGCACCCACATTAGGTGAGTACAATTAGGTGAGTATACACACAACACACACACGCATATAACCATTCATGCACGCCGACCCCCCCCCCCCAACCACGCAGACCATCACACACACTTTCGCTCTCACAAGCTACACACAACAGGCCAAGTGCCTGTTGACAAGTGCCTTTGACAACAGGTAACTACTACCCCCCACACACTTATTCACTCTCTCCCTCCAGGGTCATCCCTCAGAGTGGTGGGAGGGGGACGGGGGTAGGGTCTGATGAAGATTGAAATGTACAGATCATATTCACTCAGTATTACCTGGTATACTTCTATCCAGCCATGTGTATAGTTCATATTAATATATCTGGTTCTCTGATCCCAAGACTGTCGTAACATTGGTCAACATACCGAGAGAACAGAGTGAAGAATAATTTCTCACAACGTGTCAGTGGGAGAAGGGAAACAAGTCAGTCTTTCGCTTTGGATGTGGAAAAATATACGACACGTAGAGATCAGGACATTTTTAAAAGGACATAAGTAGAGATTCAGGAGATTAGTGAATTTCACTGTTTTAAATAAATCTGAAAAGTTCAATAAAATACCTAAAATTAGTACTTCTACTCTAGATTTATGCTATATTTATTTAAAAAATACCTCAATGTTGGTGGAAAAATTTAAATGTTCACTTCCCTTTCACTTGTAGGATGCTACTACCCAATGGGGCGTGCTGGTCGAGCGAGATATTAGCATCCAACTAACTGCTCTTATCTAATCACATCCTAAATCAATGTACAAAACTATATCCTCCGCCTGGCATAACTGGTATTTTCTTCTCCATCAGACAAGCACGAACTGGATGGCGTACGGGTCAACGGGAAGGGCAAGAAGATGAGAAAGCCGAGGACCATCTACTCGTCACTGCAGCTACAGCACCTTAACAAAATATTCCAGAGGACCCAGTACCTCTCCCTGCCGGAGCGCGCGGATCTGGCTGCTTCCCTGGGACTCACTCAGACGCAGGTGACAACTTTTCATTATTTTTGCTATCAGTATAGCAGCAGTAGAAAAAGCAATAGTAGTATTAGTAGTATTGATACTAGCAATAGTAGTAGTAGCAGAATTACTACTATTGCTAATAGTAGTAATAGTATTAATAGTAGCAATACTAGTATCAGCAGTATTAATACTAACAAAGTAGTAGTAGTAGCAGCAGTATTAATACTAGCAATAGTAGTAGCAGTATTAATACTAGTAACAGTGTTATTAATAGTAACAGCAATAGCAGTACCAATAGTAGTAGTAGCAGCAACAGTAGTAAGTCAAACAAGCAATTATTTCTTAATATACAATATAAACGCACAAACAGTCGTAGTGTGTTAGTTTTCATGCCTATGGTATGCACGTGTCATTAAAGCTACATATCTGACCTGCATAACATCAAGAAAAAAGTTTAATTCCAAATAAAAATGAAAGTACAAGAGTATATACCTGACACACTGTGTCTTCATGTCATCACCATTATTGTTATAATCATCATTTTTGTTATTATTAATTTAATAGCGGTCTTTACTTACACGCTCACAACTAGCACACAATTTCTATTTTAATAGCCGGGCGAAACGGAAGTCATACGCATCACATTCGGAGGACCAATTAACGGTACCAATTACACTCGTAACTATCCCTCCTAAAGTGCTTATAATCACGAAGAATAATCAGTAGGATTTAACCCCCTGCTAGATAACTTTCTATCAGTTATTACAATTTTAGTGTCAGTTATTTTTTTTTCGATTCGAAAATTAAGTAGGAGGTTCGAAAATGTTAGAAATCGTTGTATTAATGAAATGTTACAAGCAAATGCTAACTGCATATTTTATATGCAAAATATGCGAAGATCTGTACGGAACTGACCTAACCTAGAATAACTAGGCGTTATTTATTGTAACTGTTTAGATCGTGCAGAAACTGGCGCATAATAATGAAGAGGAAATATCAGCCGTGTTAAGAGGACAGGCTGCTTGCAGGAGCTTGTCTAGTTTCCTTCCGGAGACTCCTTGCCCCTGCAAGATTTCTTGTCTCACGAAATCGTAATGACACGATTGCAAACAAACCACGGAACGGGTGGGGTTAGAACCCATGGTGAGTGAATCGTAAAACTCCAGACCAGTGTGTAAGCCACTGGGCCAGCTGGCTACAATAAGATTCATTCAATTAGGCATATTTATATACCATAGGGAGGATTGCGTGGGCCCCACTGTGACCACAAATGCAAGTTGGATTACTCTTACTGTAGCCAGCTGACCCAGTGGCTTACGCAGTCCTGGAGTTTTACGGCTCACTTTGTAATTCCTGTTCAGCGCTAAGCTCATGTGGGTCATTCAGCGCAAGACGGTGGTGGAGGCTTGATCCTCCGTCTGCTGAGCGCGAGACAGACGCCCTTCCTATTTGTACTAACCTAGCTCCGTACCGTGGTAAGATTTCTTGTATTTGCTAGTAATAGTTGAAGAGTCGTGAACATGTGATGTTTACACTGTGATCGTGTTTGTGGCACCAAGAATGAAAGAAGGAAACTGACAGTAGTAATAATAGGAAAGGCAGAGGCATAAACTGGGAGAATAAATTAAATGCAGGAGAAAAAAGACAATAGAAGATTGAAGAATGTAAAAAGCGAACGATGTGAAATAAAAAAGGGGGTTCTAGGCAGGATGGGCAAAGAACAGGAATTGTCACCAGGTAGAAAAACAGTAAAGAATATGGAACAGGAAGGGCTACTAGCGAAGAACAGAATAGGGAAAGAGGTGTGGAGGAGGAATAGACAGTTGAGTGAATGTATGATATGGGAAGAAAGTATGAAGATACAAGGAACAAGTGTCGGTGACGAGAAATACCAGTAGACAGGGAATAAATGTATGGGCAGTAAATACCAGCAGATATGAAAGAAAAGTGTAGCGTGCGGTAGGTAGCAATAAGCAGGGAAGTAGAGAGTACTTCTAGAAAGCATCAATATACAATGAAGGAAAGTGTAGAGGTGGAAAGTGTAGAGATAGAAAGTACCAATAGACATGAAGGAAGATGTATGGTCAGAAAACCCTAATGAACAGGAAAGGAGTGTAGAGAACAGAAAGCAGCAACTGGAAACAAAGGGTGTAGAGTACTGGTATATGAAGAGGCAGTAAGCAGGGAAGGAGAGCGTATGGACTGAGGGGTCGAGGGAGAGCCAATAGGTAGTGAACGGAGGGACTGACTCGCGGAGTTCCCCAACTATTGACTTTTTAATAACTTGGCGGCGAGTGAGTGCGTGTGGAGGGTGGTGGCAGTGGTGGTAGTTGTGGTGGTGGTAGGGGTGGTGGTGGTGGTAGGGGTAGTGGTGGTGGTAGGGGTGTGGTGGTGGTAGGGGTATGGTGGTGGTAGGGGTGGGGTGGTGGTGGTAGGGGTAATGGTGTAGTGGTGATGGTAGTAGTGGTAATGGTAGTAGTGGTAGTGGTAACCAGCCAGTGACTCCCTGCTGCCCTGCCTACAACCTCAGTTCTGGTATTCACCAGAGCTCGTTGTGCTATTGACTCTTGTGGCACTCTTAAAAGAAATGCTCTGTGTTGCAGTTACGCTCTCTATTACCCTTACGGCTTACCTGTGATATACCTCCAGGTCCGGCCTGGAGCCAGGCTTTTTCCTTGATTGCCTGCTCAACCAGGCTGTTACTGTTGGCGACTCGCTGGCCCACATGACCATTACAGTCTGTTTGATCTGACACTTAACGGGGGAAGTGATCCAATTTCCACTTGAAAATTTCTACAGCTGTTCCGGAAATGTTTCTGATATTCGTTAATAGCAGGATGAATATTCTTGGACCACGAATATTGGCACAGTGTTCTCTTCTTGTTCCCATAGCTCCCCTGCTTTTTCACTTGGTCTGTTCTATACTTCCTCTCCCATAAATATATCCCATAAACAATGTTCCTCATAGAAATAAAACTTAGGATGTGATGGTCATTGTAACTTTTTGTTCATCTAAGACGATAATAGCACTTGTGGTTATAATTATTCTTATTATATTTAAGGGAAAAATTAACCCTTACGGGTCAAACAGTGTCTGAGGAATGGGAGGTAATCAGATTTCATCCAGAAAATGAAAGACTGCTCTAATTTTTGCTATCAAAAAAACTTTTTCACCAACATCAAGATTCTCAGAAAGGAGGGTATTTGTGGCACTGCTCCTTGTGGCACTGCTCCTTGTGGCAGTGATCCTTGTAGCACTGATCCTTGTGGCAGTGATCCTTGTAGCACTGCTCCTTGTGGCAGTGATCCTTGTGGCACTGCTCTTTGTGGCAGTGATCCTTGTGGCACTGCTCCTTGTGGCAGTGATCCTTGTAGCACTGCTCCTTGTGGCAGTGATCCTTGTGGCACTACTACTTGTGTCAGTGATCCTTGTGGCACTGCTCCTTGTGTCAGTGATCCTTGTAGCACTGCTCCTTGTGGCAGTGATCCTTGTGGCACTGCTCCTTGTGGCACTGCTCCTTGTGGCAGTGATCCTTGTAGCACTGCTCCTTGTGGCAGTGATCCTTGTGGCACTACTACGTGTGTCAGTGATCCTTGTGGCACTGCTCCTTGTGTCAGTGATCCTTGTGGCACTGCTCCTTGTGGCACTAATCCTGTAAGATTTATCATCCTATTCATGGAGAACCCTAAGCCCGTAAGTCATTCAGCTTTAGCTTGACTAAATGGGTTGACGCTTCATGTGACTCAGCTTCTCGCTTCTTAGTTCCCATTAACACTTCACATCACCTGACACAAAACAATACCATTACTTTATACATAAGTAATTCAATTATTCTTACGTTTGCTTCTTAAAGTACAATAAAGCAGCAAGAAAAATAACAGAAAAAAGAAGAATATAGTTTTGTTTATTCTAATTATCCAATCTTTAATATATTTTATTCAAATCAATATTGAAGGATAAGATATTTCTTCAGTAGTGCCAAAAATGAATTGTATTTTAATTCATCGTCATCTCCAACGTGAATTTTTTAGTGCATTACAATAACTGTCATTGCAACATCTCTTAAGTTCGGAAATCAATGCCACACTCGCACGCCAGCCACACACCCACTTAAACACGTAAAATATATACCTTCAAATTCATTTTATTAGTGTCGCGGTGCCAAAAAAAAAAAAAAATGCAGTCACGGTCTCACCAAGTTGTCGACATTAGTAAACATTAATAACTGCGTAATTGCTGCGAATGGCAATTGACATTCATAGCCAGAATAAACATAGAAGTTTGTTATGCGCTTTAACGAAATCTCTGTCACAACCACCTTGTCATAGATAAAATACAGTATATTGTGTGTGTGTGTGTGTGTGTGTGTGTGTGTGTGTGTACTCACCTATTTGTACTCACCTATTTGTGGTTGCAGGGGTCGAGTCCTAGCTCCTGGCCCCGCCTCTTCACCGGTTGCTACTAGACCCTATCTCTCCCCGCTCCATGAGCTTTATCAAACCTCGTCTTAAAACTGTGTATGGTTCCTGCCTCCACTACGTCATTTTCTAGGCTATTCCACTGCCTTACAACTCTATGACTGAAGAAATACTTCCTACTATCTCTCTGACTCATTTGTGTCTTCAACTTCCAATTGTGGCCTCTTGTTTCTGTGTCCCCTCCCTGGAACATCCTGTCCTTGTCCACCTTGTCTATTCCACGCAGTATTTTATATGTCGTTATCATGTCTCCCCTGACCCTCCTGTCCTCCAGTGTCGTCAGGCCGATTTCCCTTAATCTTTCTTCATAGGACATTCCCCTTAGCTCTGGAACTAACCTTGTTGCAAACCTTTGTACTTTCTCTAGTTTCTTGACGTGCTTTATCAAGTGCGGGTTCCAAACAGGTGCTGCATACTCCAGTATGGGCCTGACATACACGGTGTACAGTGTCTTGAATGATTCCTTACTAAGGTGTCGGAATGCTGTTCTCAGGTTTGCCAGGCGCCCATATGCTGCAGCAGTTATCTGATTGATGTGTGCTTCC